AAACAGTGATTTTCTGCCACTGCAAAGCACAGAAAGCATAGCTGAGGTGGGTAAATGGGAACATGCAGATAAGCATCTTGGACATCCACTGATGCCATGTATTCCACTGAGAGGCAATAACAGACCTTGCAGAATTCATGCTGAATTTTGTAACTTGAAGTCTGTCAAGGGATTTTTAAGTCCAAAATAGGGTGAATATCCCATTGTGCCTTGGTAATATGAAAAGGTCTGAGTAGAAACCTTTGAACCAGTCTTACGTAGGTACTGGTACAATGGATCTCTGGGACAAGAGGTGGTTCATGGCCTTTTGCAAATCCACCTGTCCTTGGACAGTCTTTGAAATAAACTGGTGTGGAAGCAGAGTTTTGAACAGCGGCAGGTGATCAAGTCCCAGGGGGTCAGCCACCAGAAGATGTCAGCAGCCGGTAGTGAGTTCCAGAGATGGCACATTGTTGGATACTTTTACTTTAATGTGGTTTTAAAAGGCAAAGGGTGGTCACACCAAATATTGATTTCATTGGGAGTTCTAGGTCATTTACTTTCTATTTTGATAACAATAAACTATTAATATCTCTTTTTCAGAAAGCACTCTTAATTTACAAAATTTTTTTATTTATTTTTTTTTTATTTACACCTGCCTAAAAATGTTTGCACAGTAGTGTAACACCTTGTCATCCACCTGAGACTGAGCTCTGAGTGATTTCAATTTTAGCATCAAGTTTGAATGTTTGCACTGTGAAGGGAGTACATTCCATACATGGCCCGTTTACAGTAATAATCAGAGATTCAGGGTGACCTTTCACCTGCCATAATATGGCTGAAAATCACATACTTTAGACCTAAAATTGCAGGCAGAGAGAAAACTGTTGGCAACATGCAAAACAGATAAATGGAGCTTTAAACAGCTTCCCCGCCACCCTATAGCAGAAATACTGCTACGGGCGGCAGGGGTGCGCAAAATCATGTATATATACTTGAATTTGTATTTCCGGGAAGGAGGCGGGTGCACGAGCCCTACCTGCGCTGACTTTCGCGGCCGTGGCTGTCAATCACCGTTTCCTGAAAGCACCAACACCGCCCCCAGTAAAAACACTCCCAGCACAGTTAACCCTTTGATCGCCCCTCATGTTAACCCCTTCCTGCCCAGTGCCATTAGTACAGTGTCAGTGCTTTTTATTTTAGCATTGATCAGTATATTGGCATCACTGGGGATGTCTGTCACACCAAGTGAGTTACCCTCAGTGTCATAATGCCCACTGCAGTCCCGCTATAAGTCGCTGATCGCCGCCATTACTAGTAAAAGAAACAAAAATTCCAGTAAATATACATTTGTAAATGCTATAACTTTCACGTAAACCAATACATTTGCACGTATTGGGATTTATTGTTTTTTTAGCAAAAAAGACGCAGCAGAATACATTTTGTCCTAAATTAATGACGAAATATGATTTTTTTTTTTTTTTTTTTTTCGTTAGACAGGTTTAATAGCAAAAAGTAAAAAAAAGTTTTTTTTCCCACAAAATTGCGATCAAATACCCCCAAAAGGAAGCTCAATTCGTGGGAAAAAAAAAAAAAAAAAAAAAGGACGTCAATTTCATTTGGGTGCAGCATTGCATGACCGCGCAATTGTAAGTTGAAGTAACACAGCGCCGTAACACAAAAAGTGGCCTGATCAGGAAGGGGGGTAAATCCCCAGGAGGGCAAGTGGTTAAGTAAATAGGATACAACCATGTTGGGAAACACCCAGCTTAAAATACATTTTACATGCATATTTAATGTAACCAATGCATCTAATACATTACCTCAGGAGGTAGGTGAACTTCCATAGGCACATATGTTGGCCAGTAACCCATTGTAAGGATATTCACAGTTAATTCAATGTTGCCAGGAACATTCTGATTCTGCATGTACTGCAAGAAAAAAATGTAAACATAAATCGGCCAAATGATTTGACACCAAATAGATTCACTTATAAATTTTCATTGGTGATATACCTGTTTAAAGTGAACCATAATGTCTTTTGAGAGCTCCATGTCTTTAAACATCCCCTCAAGCTTGCTGGTAAAGGCAGATCCACATTCTACACAAAACAAAAATTGTTACAGTACTATATTTGCCATAATTACATTTATCCAGATGAACGATAGCCAAATATCATGTGGCTGATACATTGCTACATTTCAGAGCATGGAAAAGGCAAGTACATGGCAAAATACAACTGGATGGCATACATGAAGTTCCATAAACCTAAACCAGTCAAGGCAGTATATTCAAATGAACTCAAACTCACTAGCTATATCTTCCCAAAGGAAACACAAAATTACAGGTCAATTTAGAAACCTAATTAAGGAAGTAGCAAAATTAAGGAGTAGAGGGGGGGGGGGGGAGAGTAGAGATCCACTTTAAAAAAAGCCACAGATTATACAATTTTCTTTCATTCCAACCTAGGTGGAAAGTAAAATATTCCTGCTTTCAGAACACAATCATCACTAATACCTGCCAGATGTGAATCGCATGCACAACTGACAGGCTGGTGGTATCAACTTCAGTACAAATCAGCCAGTCCATAACTGGATCAAATCTATGGCTGGCTTAAAATGAAACTATAGCAGTAGGATAAACATTGCAGGCAGGTATCTTGACTCAATCAGGAAACACAGAATGTGCCACAGTAATGAATGTTAAAAGAAGTTTGTGGCTTACTTCACGAGTATTGTGCATCACATTGTAACTGGATTTGGCATTTGTTGAACTTTATACTGGAGCCATTAGTTGTACTTTACCTTCTGCTTTAAACTCCATTACAAAGCATAAAAAAGAAAAAAAAAATCTAAAGAAACAAATGACTGGTTTCCAGAGCAGTGTGAGTGAGCGTGTTAGCAGAATAGAAGAAAATAATTTGTTATAGTCTAGGCCAGGGCTTGAAATTTCCACTCGCCTGCCCACCAATGGCGAGCGGAAATGATGGTGGGGGCGAGTGTGTCCCCCAGGTCCGTCTTGCTGAGCAGGCTCGGAGCTCAGGCAGGATCTCTCATTGGCAATGGGAGCCGCCAGACTGCTCAATAGCTGAGCGCAGAGAGAAAGCAAAGCAAGGAGTGTGTGTTGTGCTCTCTGCCTCCCCCTAGAGTGCAGTACCCGGATCTGTGAGTGAACAACAAAGTACTGCAACTTTTTATGGGGGGGGGGAAGGGGGTACGTGTACGTGTGTGTGTGTGTCTGTGTATGCATGTACAATTGTACGTGTCTGTGTGTATGTACATGTGTGTATCTGTACATGTGTCTGCATGTATGTGCATGTCTGTGTGTGTGTACATGTGTGTGTGTGCATGCATGTACGTGTGTGTGTGTGTGTGTACATGTACGTACATGTGTCTGCATGTCTGTGTGTATGTACATGTATCTGTGTGTATGCGTGTCTGTACGTAACTGTGTGTGTATATACGTGTGTGTGTGCACGCACATGTGTCTGTGCGTGTGTGTACATGTTTCTGTGTGTGTATGTACATGTCTGTGTGTGTGTGTCGAGTGTGTGTGTATAGGTGTCTCCGAGTTGTGTGTGTTTGTTGGTGGCGAGTAAAACTAAGGCCTGGCTAGTAGCTCAGGACTGTGTGTGTGTGTGTGTATAGGTGTCTCCGATTGTGTGTGTTTGTTGGTGGCGAGTAACTAAGGCCTGGCTAGTAGCTCAGGACTTAAATTTCAAGCTATTGAATCCAAACTGCAGCCCAAGGGCCAGATGTGGCCCTTTGTTTGCTTTTATCTTGCCCTTGGGGCAAGATTTCATCCACTGATAATGCGGCATAATTCCCCCCACGGAAACCAGTGAAAAGTCACAATTCCTCCGAAGGACACCAACGATGGGGCCCAGTTTCTACCAATGAGACACAAAGATAGGGAACCAAATGACACAAATGAGGCACAGTTCCTTCCATCGACACTAACGTTGGGGCACAATTCCTCCCACTGACTTCAAAGACGGGGCATTTTTTTTTTTCCAACTGATGTTGGGACCTTTTCTGCTTCCAATAGACACAGTCCAACCCCCCTAAAGTCTGAAGGATAGTAAACTGGCCCTTTGTTTAGAAAGTTTGAAGACCCCTGGTCTAGGCCAAAAAAAAAAAAAAAAACCCCACAAAAGTTGAGAACTATATAATTGTATTCTTACCATGCTTTAGTTTAGAAAGCATTGATTTTTCAGCATCTACAGAAGCACTTTTCCCAACTAAAAGCCTTTTGGCCAAGTCTTTTTTTGTAGAAAGCTTCAAAGACATCTTTTCCTAAAAAAAAATAAAAAAATGTATTATATAGAAATAAAACAAGTCAGACTAAATTATACTGCATGCAACAACAAATCCAGTGTACAAATAACAGGACTTCGTTAAAACTCTCGTGTTTCATTTACAGACTCATGCTATGTGAACTCTACCATAGCCTCATTAACATTTGACTGTGGAGTAACACACTGTATTTTATCTAAATTTCAATCTAAATTAACCAGGGTGTACATTTGGTGTGCTACAAGCCCAAAAAAACATGGAAGTGCACATGGCAAGTGTAGTATACCCTATCAATCTACCCACTGCCTTTTGCAAGCAATTGTATAAACACAGTAGCCATTACAGTTGCTACTGTCAAAACAGGGACCTTCAAAAAAACAGTGTATGGGATCTTTTGATACAAAAGTAAAAAAAAAACAGTTACATTTGTATTTACGCAGTTCCAATCATCTGCAGACCAAAGTGTTAAACTTTAATCTGCGGGTCAGTTAATCACACACAGTTAAACAAGACAAGCGAGAAGAAAAAAAAATTCTGATTAGCCTGTGTTGTGAATGACCAGAATTGTAGGAGATTACATTACACGTAAACCTGAATAGATCAGAAAATATTCACCGAACACAGCTGTTAGAGTGTCAGCCATGAGGCTCACCAGGTCAGTGCACCACTGTACCACTCTTTCATCTCACCCTCATGGAACAGATGAGAATGAGGAAAGGCATAGAGCATCCCTGTACCCGGAGACAAACTTGTCCAGTTTGTGGTTGATCCTGGAGGCTAGGAGGACCACATTTGATGTGCCTCCCCCCTGTGACACAGGTACTGTTAACAACCACTAGGTGTAGGGAGCACTCCCACTTGGTTTAGGCACTGACAGAAGAAGCCTGCCTCTCAACAGTCCACGTCTGTACACATCAGACTAGGCAGGAACTTGAAGTTCTGTCTAGGACAGGATCTGATCTACCTCTCTTGCGGTAGCAAGACTTCTGTTCCTTGCTGATGGCTACAGTACACCATTGCTGTCCAACTGATTATGAATCAGATGATCTTCCAGCAGGATGGCCCAACGCTGCAGAGACAACCAAATTGCTTGTTCCAAATGCTGATCAAGAGATAAGACTCCGATATTAGTCCCCTGCACTGACAAGCGCTCAAGATTGCACCCCAGCCCAACAAGGGGGCATCCATCATGAGGATCTTCCAGAAGACAAAAGAAAGGATTCCTAATTCCAGACATGGATTCCTTAGCCACCAGGCTTTGGATAACCTAGTCCTCTGTGCCAGACTAAATCAGTCAGTCCAGGGACTTGATTGGCTTAACCATAACATTAAAATGTTGCATTGTAGAAGTCTTGAATGAAAAATCGGCAAATAGGACTGCCTTCAAGGAGGACACCATAAGGCCCAAAACGGTCATTCAAAAGTGAAGCGTTGGACAATTCTTGGACTGGAGAGCTCAGATCTAAACACTCTGGCTTAAGCTGTGTCCAGGACTAAGACCCATGTGCTCAAACCGATAGGTTGAGGAATTCTGGATTTTCAGGATCAGACTCACTGTTATTCCTGAACAGTCAAGGCTTTGTTGTCTGGCAGAGCCTACACGGACTGTTCCCTAAACAAGAGGTAATCTTAAGTATCCCACAATGGGGATGCCACAAGATTGCAGAAGGGCCAGTACTGGAAACAGCACCGTGATGAACACCTTAATTGTACATGAAAGACAACATCAAAACCTTGAATTGGTAGTGCAGCAGGCTCACAGAAGCTAAAAAGTCTTCCTGGTGAAGGGAGGCGATGACAAACATGGTGGATTGCATCTGAGCTTAGATGATGACCCTTCACAGATTTGAGATCCAAGATAGAGCAGCTTCCTTTTGGATTTAGGAACTTTGAATAGGATCAAGGAGAATCCTTGAAATCTTTCTGCCACAAAAATGGGGAAATAACACCTTGGTACAGAAGAACAGAGGGAGCTTGATGGAGATCTGATAATCTTGACAGTGACACAGGAAGGTAGATATGGGAAACTGCCACCTGCACCCAAGTTTCTCAGATACATGATGTCCAAGTGTCTTCAAAAGGTTTACAAATGTCTCCTCCCACTCTAGAAAGTGGGGGCACACTATTATATGGAGGAAGGCTTGTTTGTGAATTTTTCAGACTTTATGCCCCACCTTATGGGTGGGTTGGGAGTGAATAGACTTGAGTGATTGCAACATGTAGGGCACAGGAATGGGGGAAAAAAAAAAAAAAAAAACAGATAAAGAGTGAAAAGACTGTGCAGTCTGTTCCTTAGGCTTCTTCCACTGAACAATATGGGTGCTTTTGCCACCAGTAGGGTCCTTGATGGTGTTATCTATGGTAATTCTGAAGATACATCCCTGAAAGGAAGTGGACCCAACACTTTTTGGATGAATGTTCCTCTGACAAAAGATCCATGTCAGAGGTAAGCTAGGAGGCCTTTAGCAAAAGCATCACAAATTTATTTATTTTTCTTCTTTTACATATTGAAAAACAAGTCAAAGCTACAGACATTTGCTCCATACATTCCATCAGCAAGGGATCAACTTTGGCAGTGGATAGATCTCTTTTAAGGTATTTTACCTGGGCAGCCATGATTTAGCACAATAAAATCACAGCCAAGATGGGGTGAAGAGTAAAGCTTGCTAAAAAGAGAAGAGTTCTACCAATCGCTTATCTGTTGCGTCTGTAAAGATGTGTGCATCCTCTATTGGTATGGAAGTTGCTTTGTACCAATGCCAGATCCACAGTGGGGGTAGAGAATGTTTTGTAACAAGAAAAAAAAAATTCTCCTCAAAATGGGTACAATAAGCATTTGGGGAGCAAACAGCTTGTCAGGGTTTTTTTTAAATCATATTTAAAATATAATGCACAATACTGGTAAACTTTTTCTTTAAGTTTAATTTGTAATGCCTTAATATACCCTCCAGTCTATCAGATTCCAGCTTCTCTGGGTTTAGAGAATGATCTTCCCAGTACAGAGCCCATGAAGTGCTGGTAATCTGAACTGCAAAACCGTTGACAGACAGGGTTTCTGTAACAGAAGGGACACCAAAAGTCCGTCATAAATATCCCCCCTGCCTGTCAGAGGGTAATGTGATCTGAGCCGTATATGAGCAGCTCACTCCACATTTACAGCCTGCTCTGTGTCTGACAGTGATGTGACTCCCGTACACATGTGCAGAAGTAATGATACTTCAGCCTGGCCATTCAAGCAAGCCGTGAGCGTGGCACTGGAGGGTTCAGTTTGTAGGCAAGTCTGATATAATGTATTAGTATGCAAGACATGCTAGTAGATTATGACAAACTTGCAGGGGTCACTTTTTTTTTACAATATTACAAAGACTTTACTACCACTTTAAAGTGATTGTATATGTGTAATACTTACATGCTCTGTGCAATGGTTTTGCACAAAGCAGCCCCGATCCTCTTCTTCTGGAGTCTCCTCAAGCCTTCAGAGTGCCCCCAAAGAAAGCTACTTGGCATGGGGGGGCACTTGTGTGGGCTTGATCCCTAGCCACATTGTGTGCTTCTGTTGACACACCGTGTGGCTCGGGCCTCAAACCTCCCCCTTCCCACAGGCTGTGGTTGACAGCAGTCCTGTGAACAGGGAGAGCGAGCAGTGCTGTTTACCTAGAGCTCAACAGCGCCCTGGTAATTCAATGCCAACTGCCAGGTGGTCGTATTTGTGTTTTTTTTTTTTTTTTTTTGTTTGGTTTTTTTGTTACAGCGAGATTGGGGAAAAGATCCCTGCTCTTGCTGTAACAACAAGCGGTGGATCAGGGAGACACCAAATCAGTGGGAACGCGTCACATGTTCCACCCCTAAAAATGGATGAAACATGTTCCCAAAGGTGAACTTATCCTTTCAGCATTCCAACCTGTGAGATGGGGGAAGGGGAGATGGGGAGTAGGAACATTTCCGCCTGTGTTAAAGGCAGTGTAAGCCAGCAGGAATCCCAGAAAACAGCTACTGTACCCCAGCAATAGCATAAGGAACTGGATGAAGGTTCCCGGAGGTAGTGGAGACACTTGTCATGTGGAGGAAGTCAGAGCCGCATGAACTAACTAATCCACAGGGGGTTAAATTGTATGGGGGGCTGCATCCAGGTTCCCCCCTGTCTGAAGAAGATACTTGGGACTCTTCATCCCTTACATCCCCTCATCTATGCATTAGTTGAAACATGGCCTGTTAATGCGTGTATAGGGACCGCTTTGGAAAAAGTGGTCCAAGTCAGCCAAAGACAGCACTAGGCTAATAAGCAACAATGCATGGGTTACTCTAGAAAATTTACTACAAAAACTTGCCAGTATCCCCCAAAAGTAAGTAAAGGTGGCACAGAGTGGCCTTCCAATACTTATTGCGACCACAAGTCCCACCAGGAAGGCTGTACTGCAACCTGCAGTCCAACCAGCAACGCACAGCTGCAACATGTAGTCCGACAAGAATTATTTGTTCGCCAGCTGTGACCTGTAGCCCCACCACCACACCCGTATTGCAGCAGAAGAGCTGTCTACTGCCAATCACATGTGCAGTAAAAATAGCAGCCGGCAGGGTGCTTCGCCTCACTCATGACACAGCCGTATTGCACTTGCAGGCATGGACCACAATGCACCTGAGAGAATGCAGGGAGCGAAGAGAAACTCCTTGCCTCTTGCATTTGGCGCCTAGAGGCTCCTGGGCAACCCCATGTCCCAGGAAACTACAGCAGTAAAAATGCACCACAGAGAAATTAAAACAGCGTAAAGAAGCAGCAGTTTGGCACCAAATGCTAAATAGTAAATGAGTGCACATCAAAAGCATTACTGTTCCTTGTAACCACTCACATACAGTAGCCCATATAGGTTCCAGGATTAGTTCTTAAGTAGCAGTGGTGTAAACAATAATTGTGTCATCCAATGATGATTTCTACATGGCAGCTAAAACAAGGTTAAAAAAAAAAAAAAAACCCACAGGTAAACCAGATGTCAAATTTCTGGATAGACTAAATTCCACTGAAAACAGAGAGGCAACAGCATATGCAGAATGCATTATCCTGAACAGTTATCAGCAAATCTGTACCTAGATCACAAGTGTCTTTTTCTTTTATAGACTCTAGGATAGGATCCTTAACGAAGGGATATATAATAAATTGTATTAGCAAGTCCACACAATAAGTGCAGGTTCAACTCTTCAGAAACCTACCATAAATGAACCTAAATATGATCATGATTTTATCCAACATTTTTTCAAGCTCTTCATCTGTAGCTTCTTTGTTTCCAGTTCGCAGTTTTGAATCAACATACTTTGCTGTAATATAATAAAAATGATATTAGCATTTTAAAGCATGCCACTAGCCAGTGTGTGTACATGTCTCTATACACACACCCCCATCAGAGTTACAGCAACAGACATTTAAGCTACCGTATTTTGCGCTCCATAAGACGCACTCTTTCCCCCCAAAAAAGGGGGGAAATGTCAGTGCGTATTATGGAGCGAATATAAAGCGGCCGGTCCGGTATTTCTGCTGCTACCATGTCAGAATACCGGGCCACCCACTCAGATCTTCTCTCCTGCAGGACCTTACCTGTTCCTCGCTCCAGTGCTGTACAGTCTTCCCGCGCCAGCTTCTGCGACAGCCGGGTGCCCACTGCGCAAGCGCGAGAAGCGCTGCGCTTTGTGTATGGTCCGGTGTCTTCTGGGACATGACAGGTCTCAGAAGGCTCCGGGCCATTCACAAAGTGCAGCGCTTCTCGCGCATGCGCAGTGGGCAACCGGCTGTCACAGAAGCCAGCGTGGAAAGAAGAGGGAAGGACAACTCGGCAGAAGTGGGAGCGGATACCTGTCAAATTCAGGTACCCGCTCCCCCTCCCTCCCCAAAGGTCCACAGTCTCTGGTCATCTGTACTATGTCCCTGGTATTTTCCCTGTACTGTGTCCGCAGCCTCTGGTCATCCCCTGTACTGTGTCCGCAGCCTCTGGTCATCCCCTGTACTGTGTCCGCAGCCTCTGGTCATCCCCTGTACTGTGTCCGCAGCCTCTGGTCATCCCCTGTACTGTGTCCGCAGCCTCTGGTCATCCCCTGTACTGTGTCCGCAGCCTCTGGTCATCCCCTGCACTGTGTCCGCAGCCTCTGGTCATCCCCTGCACTGTGTCCGCAGCCTCTGGTCATCCCCTGCACTGTGTCCGCAGCCTCTGGTCATCCCCTGTACTGTGTCCGCAGTCTCTGGTCATCCCCTGTACTGTGTCCGCAGTCTCTGGTCATCTCCTGTACTGTGTCCGCAGTCTCTGGTCATCCCCTGTACTGTGTCCGCAGTCTCTGGTCATCTCCTGTACTGTGTCCGCAGTCTCTGGTCATCCCCTGTACTGTGTCCGCAGTCTCTGGTCATGCCCTGTACTGTGTCCGCAGTCTCTGGTCATCCCCGGTACTGTGTCCGCAGTCTCTGGTCATTTCCTGTACTGTGTCCGCAGTCTCTGGTCATTTCCTGTACTGTGTCCGCAGTCTCTGGTCATTTCCTGTACTGTGTCCGCAGTCTCTGGTCATTTCCTGTACTGTGTCTGCAGTCTCTGGTCATTTCCTGTACTGTGTCTGCAGTCCATTGGTTCAGAATATTTTTTTTCTTGTTTTCCGCCTCTAAAACCTAGATGCGTCTTATGGTCAGGTGCGTCTTATGGAGCGCGAAATACGGTATCTGCCAAGACAGAAGAAAAACTAATCTCCAGGACCCCCATAGAGGGCCTTGCTGAACAAACCCCCTACAGATGTCCCACATTGCGAAGAAAAAAATAAGTAAATCACTTTTTATTTTCTTTTTATGCAACCAAACGATTGCCCATTCATAGGAATCTTCTGTAATAAATTTTTCTGAAGTATTTTCCCAACTGAAAGGAACCTTGCAAATGAAAAAATTGTCAGCTATTTCAATTGACACCTGCGCAAAAAAAATGTAAAAAAAAAAAAAAAAAAGTCGCCATGGATTTCATACGCCCAACTGAACTTGTAGGCATTGCATCACTGAATCTTTAAAACACTCAAGCAGTGCATGGTGGGGCCACTGAACCCACTGAAACCAGAAGTACCTCAATATCAAAAGACTGACGTTGTTGCTATGCACCAGTGGTATTTAAGACTTTTATATTTTTTCAAAACAAATTACCCACCTGTAAGACCACTTGCTTGCTAATATCCCATATTGTCACACAAGATGTATGTCACTGTATCCTGACTCAACAGTTTCTCATTAATATGATGCATGCTGCTGTTTATTGTTAATTTTTGTCTAAAAAAGGAGCTACACTCGGGCTTTCACCCCTTTTCTTGTACATGAATTGAAAAAACAAGAAGAAAAATATATATTTGTAGCCAAACAAAAAATATTGAATATTACTACCTATAAGCTCAGCTGGTTTGTTTGGTCGCTTGTTAATGAAAGTTTCAAAGGCTTCTTTCATGGCATTCACAAACTTCTCATTTTTCATGAAACAAACATCTATCACGTGGTCAACTTTGTCTTTGAAGTCAAGCAATTCTTGTACCATAGTCTTATCCTTTTCTGGATTAATCACAATCGTGCTGCCAAAAGCCTGAAAAAGAATTAGAAAAATTCTGTTTAAATCCATGTTAACAAATAAGGTATTATAATGTGACAAATTCTGGTATAATAAACGGGCATCTACACCTCTACCGATTTAAAATATACTAGGACTCAAAGTAAAATCATTTTCTTGGAGTCCCTTGAGGAAAACAGGAAGCCTGAAACCTTTGAAGCCATATACTGGGGGATTGGGACAATGCAAAAAACTGCAGGCATAAAACAAAATCTCTAGGGCAGCTCAGGATAACCCCTCCAACAGCATGCCTCAAGTCTGTACCAAAGCATTACTGAGTGCAGGATCATAAACTCACAAGGCGAAACCTGTGTTCCTCAGTTAATTTTTATTGTTGAGTACAAAATTTCTATTTTCTTTCACTGAGGGGAAAAAGGAGGTCTGAAACCTTTAGAAAAAAAAAAGCAGTCCAACTGAGGTGCGTGAAACCACCAGCTGGCTCAAAAAACTGGGGACTGTCTGCAGCTCAAAAATCTGCCTGAAGTGCCTTATGGCCAAAGCAGGCATCAAATGAAGCTGTAATGTAGAACCTCTAAAGTGTTGAAGCCAAGAAGAGCTCAGAGATGTAGTAGAGTGTGCCTTGACAGGAAAAGGTGGAACCTGATCTTTAGGAACATAAGCTTGAACAATAGTATAACCCTCTAGATATGTTGAAATGAGAAGCTGCAGCATGTTTACAGGGTTCATCAGGGATCTCAAAAAGGGAAGTAGTTTTCCAGGAAGAAGCAGTGTCTGAGCCCTGGTTCACACTGATGCGGTATGGCACATTGCATGTGATTCGCACAGGAACAGCATCACATTCTTGAGCAAATCACATGCGACTTCTGTGCAGTGCAATTTGAGCCACACATTTTGTATGACTCAAAATCACACCATATCTGCACCAAAAATAGCGCAGGACCCTTTTTTTGTCCACACCAGAATCTGATCGCATGGTGTTCACACCCAAGCAATCCATTTCTGCATATCGCACCATGTTTTGCGAATCAAATTCGGGGTGTTGTTAACTTAAAGTACACACCCACAGTGGTTCGCATGAACAGGGTGCGATTATAATGCAGTGCGGAAATGGCACAGAATTCCGCACTGCATCAGTGTGAACCAAGGCTGAGGAACAGGACTCCCAGGAATAGGACTCCCAGGAATAGGACTCCCAGGAATAGGACTCCCAGGAATAGGACTCCCAGGAATAGGACTCCCAGGAATAGGACTCCCAGGAATAGGACTCCCAGGAATAGGACTCCCAGGAATAGGATCCAGGACTCCCAGGAATAGGACTCCCAGGAGGTTATTTACTAAAATTGGAGAGTGCAAAATCAGGTGCAGCTCTGCAGAGAAACAATCAGCTTCTAGGTTTTATTGCCAAAGCTAAATTGAAAAAGTTGTGGTTAGAAGCTGACTGGCTACCATGCACAAATGCACGAGATTCTGAGTGCAACAGTTTTAGTAAATCAACCCCTCAGATCACAACCACATCCAGACAATGGAGGAAAATATTCTTTTAGTAAACTACAGATAGACAGAGGAACGAAAGAACAATATCCTGGTTGAGGTGGAGGGCAGAAACAATCTCTCTTAGTCAAGAAGGTAATCATGGGCCTCAATAACTACCTCCTTGTCACAGTTCAGGCACTCACCTTGGAGAGGTGATGGCCACAAACAATTACACTTTGTGGGCAAGAAGAGAGAGGAAGATCTCTTGGATTCCAACAATTTCTGAAGCATAAAAAGAATAAAACCAGATTCAAATACCACCAAATCACAGGAAAGCTACTACATGGAAAAGAGACCCCTAAGATAAAAATCAGAAAAGGTCTTACAGTGAGGAAGGCAAGAACTGTTGAGAAACTCATGTGTTAAAACTCCAAGACCAAGTTAAGTATGCACCGCTGATAATATTGCAAGTAGATTTCCTAGCTTTTCCTAGGAATCACAGACTCAGAGACCCCTGTCCCTCCGAAACTGGGCTTCAACAGCCAATTCATTAAAGCAACTTGGAAGTTGCGAAGGCCACAGCAAATCAGATCTAAAATCTGAGTCAGCATGTGGGTAATTTGGGTTATAAAATCTTGCAGGACTATGGTAAAACCTTAGCTGAGGGGGAAGAGGGCCCAGTAATGCCAGACCAAACCAAGAGGACTAACAACAAAGCAGAACATGATTTCAGGCTGCAGAGGATGGCACAGTCAAAGGCACGCTGCAAACACCACCAATACTGTCAGACTTTGAGCTGGGGGCACTCAAAACAGTGGGAATTTGCTCTTTGCTCTTGACCTGAAGAAGATGAGGCAGCCCTAGCTGTGGGCTATGTGGTGGTCTCCCACAGGACCTATCCTCCTCCTACTTCTGCCCCCCTCTTTCTTTCCCTTCATTCAGTTTTTCTGTTTTGGGTTCTTCCTCCAGAGTGCGGGTACTGCCTCCTCCATAAGGCTGTAAGCAGCCCTGATGAAACAAGAGGTGAAAACCCTGCGAGTTCAAATTATCTTGTGTGCAATTGTATACCTGTATTTTGGCTGTACAGCCTTTTTGGGCTGTTACGGTGTCAAAAGCCAAATTGTATTACACTTCTCCCATGCTATGGGCTCACTGGCCCATATTATCTTATCTCTATGTACTACTTTTTATATGGAGATCTTGAGCTGTATGTTATTTTAAAATCTCAAATATTTTGTAAAAGAATGAAGACCAAAGTTTCATGAGTGATGGGAAAAGTCAAAATGTACTCTTGGACAGTCAAAAAAAAAAAAAAAAAACTACTGAGATTGAGAGGGAGGGAAGAGCTTTTAGTCTCTTTCTGGTTTGTATTTCCTGTTGAACTTTAGAGTTTATTTGGGAAACTAAAGCAGGCTGGTAGTGGAGTAATTATTTTGGGCTGGCGTAGTTTTTTAAAAAAAATTTTTAATTGCCACGGTCAACTCCTCCCATAGGTGGCAGCAGCTTTTGTAACTTCCTGCATCCTTCAAAAGGATGAGAGAGAAAACACCTGATCAAATTATATACGATTTTGTTCAAAACAAAAAACCTACCTTGATGTACTCAATCCAGTGCTGTAGAAGAACTTGCACACCACCTCGGACTCTACTGAACAACTGGTACAACAAGGAGAGGTCCTGTATTCTGTTTTCATCCAAAAGATGATTCAAACCTTTTTAAAGGACAAAATATACACTTAAAACCACACAAATCAAGGTAAACAAATACTGAAAAGCACACGCAAAAAAAAAAAACTAGTAGCTGTAAACTAAATCAAATTGAAGGAACAAAAATGCAGGGGTGCTTGTGTGCTGGACTACTTTTGTGCAACAATAGTTGCACAAACAAATTTTCCCAACCAAGAAACCATAAACAAAACCTCATATCTAGAGCAATGAGAAAATTTATCTACAAATATCCCTTTCCCCAAAGCAAATAAAAAAATACTCCTCTCTCAAATCCTCCACCAGCACCAAACTATAGACTGGGCGTATAAGACGACCCCCTACTTTTCTTGTTAAAATGTAGTGTTTGGGCTATACTCGCCGTATAAGACTACCCCTCTTCCAATGCACACCAGTGGGAAGAAACGTGCCCCATCATTGGTGTCAGTGGGAAGAATCGTATTCCATCATTGGTGTCACACATTGGTGTCAGTGGGAAGAAATAGTGTCCCGTCATTGGTGTCAGTGGGAGGAATAGTGCCCCGTCATTATGTCAGTGGGAGGAATAGTGTCCCATCATTGGTGTCAGTGGGGAGGAATAGTGTGTGCGTCATTGGTGTCAGTGGGAGGAATAGTGCCCCGTCATTGGTGTCAGTGGGAGGAATAGTGCCCCGTCATTGGTATCAGTGGGGGAATAGTGCCCCATCATTGGTATTAGTGGGAAAAATAGTGCCCCATCATTAGTATCAGTGGGAGGAATAGTGCCCCATCATTGGTGTCCAGTGGGAGGAATAGCGCCCCATCATTGGTGTCAGTGGGAGGAATAGCACCCCATCATTGGTGTCAGTGGGAGAATAGCACCCCATCATTGGTGTCAGTGGGAGGAATAGCGCCCCATCATTGGTGTCAGTGGGAGGAATCGCGCCCCATTATTGGTGTCAGTGGGAGGAATCGTGCCCCATCATTGGTGTCAGTGGCAGGAATAGTGCCCCATTGTTGGTGTCAGTGGGAGGAATAGTGCCCCATCATTGGTGTCAGTGGGAGGAATAGTGCCCCAACATTGGTGTCAGTGGGAGGAATAGTGTCCCAACATTGGTGTCAGTGGGGGGGGGGAATAGTGCCCCATCATTGGTGTCAGTGTGGGGTGGAATAGTGCCCTATCGTTGGTGTCAGTGGGAGGAATAATGCCCCATCATTGGTATCAGCGAAACCAATGATGGGGCACTATTCCTCCCACTGACACCAATTAAACTTGCTGACCCCTGTTCTAGTATGGTGCTGCTGCAGCCAGCATATGTGGTTGCAGCAGCAGCTCTGGACGGCACACTTACCGGCCGCTCCTTTACTCGATTTTCGCGGGGGGGACCGCTCGGCTCCGCCTCCTCGCCGGTGATTGGCTGCCTGTGTGCCTTTTCTGAGCTACAGTTCTGGCGGCCAATCACCGGTGAGGAGGCAGAGCCGAGCAGCCGCGGTAACATCCAGTGGCCGAAAAGAATGAAGGAGCAGCCGCGCTTCCTGGACTGGATCGTCCTGGGACCGGAGCCAGGTAAGAGACAGCAGCCCCTGCCCACCCCTGTACTTAGTGTCCCTTCCGTTGGAAGGGGGGGGCAGCGGGGCACTGCGCAGCCCCCCCTAAAAAGTGTCAGCATGCCGTATACCGGCGTATAAGAGGACCCCCGACTTTAGAGAAGATTTTCAAGGGGTAAAAAGTCGTCTTATACGCCGGAAAATGCGGTAAGTTATGTGTAACAAAATGGAACAACACAGGGAAAAAGTATTGAACACGCTCACTGAAATTTTTTTTAATATACTCCGTACAAAATCCTTTGTTTGTAATGACAGCTTCAAGACACCTCCTGTGTGGAGAAACTAAATCACATGCATTGCTCAGGTGTGATTTTGGCCCATTCTTCTACACAGTCTTCAATTCTTGAAGGTTCAGTGGGCTTCTTCTATGAACCCTGATCTTTAGTTCTTTCCAAAGATTAACTATTGATATCAAGACAGGTGATTGGCTGAGCCATTCTAGCAGCTTTATTCTCTTTGAAACCAATGGAGAGTTTACTTGGCTTTGTGTTTGGGATCATTGTATTGCAGAAATCCTCCCTCGTTGGTACATTTTTCCATCCATCCTTTCTTCAATGACATGAAGTTTGTCAGTACCGTGTAATGAAAAAAACAGCTCCACACCATGATGTTCCCACCTCCAAACTTCACTGTTGGTATGGTGTTTTTGGGGTGATGTATAGTGCCATTTGACCTCCAAACATGGTGTGTATTATGGCATCTCAGAGTTCAGTTTTGGTCTCATCTGACCAGACTATATTCTCCCAGTATTTTACAGGCTTGTCTAAATGTTGTGCAGCAAACTTTAAAAACAAGCTTCAACATGCTTTTTCTTCAGCAATGGAGTCTTGTGTGGTGAGAGTGCATAAAGCATTGAACACATAAAAAAAGGGAGGTGATGGCCTATAAAAAGGTGGCTCATTACCAAGGTGTCAAACAAGAACATCTCATGATGGGTAAAAACAAAACGCTTTCAAAACCTTCACAACCTTATTGTTGCAAAATATACTGATGGCATTGGTTACAGGATTTCTAAATAGCTGAATGTTCAAGTGAGCACTTTGGGGCCATAATCCAGAAGTGGAAAGAACATAATTTCAACATAAACCGTCCACGACCAGGTGTTCCTCGCAAGATTTCTGACAGAGAAGTGAAGAAGAGAATTATCAGAAGAGTTGTCCAAGAACCACTTGTGGAGAGCTTCAGAAAGACCAGGAATTAGCAGGCATAATTGTTTCAAATAAAGCAATAAGTAACACACTCAACCGCCATGGCCTGCATGCATGCCCACCACACAAGACTCCATTGCTGAAGAATGTTGAAGCTCATTTAAAGTTCGCTGCACAACATTTAGACAAGCCTTTGGAATACTGGGAGAATATAGTCTGGTCAAATGAGACCAAAATTTAACTCTTTGGATGCCATAAAAACACACCATGTTTGGAGGTCAAATGGAACTGCACATCACCCAAAAAAAAACACCATACCAACAGTGAAGTTTGGAGGTGGGAACATCATGGTGTGGAACTGGGTTTTTTTTTTGCATACAGTACTGGCAAACTTCATATCATTGAAGAAAGGATGAATGGAAAAATATACCAAGGCATTCTTGATAAAAATCTGCTGCCATCTACCAGGATGATGAAGATTATTATTATTATTATACAGGATTTATATAGCGCCAACAGTTTGCTCAGCGCTTTACAATATAAAGGGAGACAATACAGCAACAATACAGTTCAATACAAGAGGGATAGGAGGGCCTGCTCCTTGGAGCTCACAATCTAGGAGATGAAGATGAAACGAGGGTGGACATTTCAGCAAGACAATTATCCCAAACACAAAGCCAAGTAAACTCTCAATTTGTTTTCAAAAAAGAAAATAAAGCTGCTAGAATGGCCCAGCCAATCACATGACTTGAATCCAATAGAAAATCTATGGAAAGAACTAAAGATCAGTGTTCATAGAAGAGGCCCACGGAACCTTCAAGATTTGAAAACTTTGTGGAAGAATGAGTCAAAATCACACTTGAGCAATGCCTGAGACTAGTTTCTCCATACAGGAGGTGTCTTGAAGCTGTCATTACCAACGAAGAGTTCTGTATGAAGTATTAAATGCATTTCAGTTAGTGTGCTCAATACTTTTTCCCTGTGTCATTCAATTTTTATTACACATAATTTTAATTTCTGAACTTATTTGTTTTGTCTATCTGTATGTATGGATTGCATGGGTTGTTACCGACACACGTGGTGAACATTTCATTTCAATAGCACCTTTAAAAATAAATTTACTGAGAAAAATGGTGTGTGTGTGTGTGTGTACAGTTTTATTGGAACAAATTCACATTTTCAGATGAAGGTGAATCCCTCATGTCTCTCTGTGCGGCCACAGCACTCCCTTGTCTCAACATTCAGCTGACTCCAGCCCTCCTCCGGGCCATGCACTTTCTGCTTCCCAGATCCACCCCCAGCTTCTTCCTGGCAGCAGCACAAGGTACAGGAGGTGCACTGTGATGTAAAAGGAGGGTGGAGGACTCTTGACATTTGATGTAATGAGGGGGCTGCTCTGGACATCAGCTTAAACTTATTAGGAGAAAACTACAATTCTACGCTAGTTGAAAAAGGAGGCTCACACACCACTGGTATCATCCACAAGCAATTTTATTGGAACTGCCCAGAAGACATAATACCATGGCAGAACCACGTTCTGTCAGAGCAGTCTCCTATAAAGTTTCTTGTGGATGAAAGCGGCGGTGCGCGACCCACCTTTACAAAATTGCATCATCTGCTACAGGAGTGGAAATGGGCTCCATGCTGGTTTGCACCTGCTATTCAGAGAAGTCTTAAGTCATTACTAAATCTAGTAGAAATCTAATGCAGAGGCATTTTTTTTTAACAAGATAAAGCGTAGATACATTTATGTTGAAAAGTGGCCTTTGAGTTGCAGTCATAATGCTGATACGGCCTGCGATTAAACGGAGTTCGAAACCCCAAGTCTACATGATGAACAATTATAAACATACCTTTCTGTAGCGTTGTTGTTAGATGTTCTCCGAGAAGCTGCTTTTCAACAGTGGCAATTAATGGTTTTCTACACAACATGAGAATCATTTTAGTATTACACAAAGCCTAAAAGTTAAGTACTGAATTCAGAGATATACAGGTGATGAGCAGTTCTAGAACCACGGTTTTCTTACAAAATGTTTACTTATAGTTTCAAACAGTGTGAATTAGGAGGAGGAAAGCGCAATCCTAAGTTATACACACACCTTCCTTAACGTGGTTGTAAACCCTTATATATAGTCAATGAAGTGACTAACCTCAGGTGATGCACAGAAATAAAACATCTTCCTACATAAGTTGTACTTGTTCATCTGCAGCCATCTCTGCTCTACATCCTTCTAGAACATAAAAATCGAAGGATTCTCAATCTCACAAAGCAGCGGGTGAGGATCTGATGTCACACACACTGCAGGTCTAGAGAACAGAGTTCCCAGATATCTGACAGCTGATTGGACGGAAGGGACAAAACAACAAGCTAATAGAAAAAAAACACAGAGCCAAGACAAGAGTTACCTGCTGTGTGCTGGAGGGGAGAAGGCCATCTCTCTCTCCTGTTTTCACAAAATTATGCAGACAGTAGATGGATCAGAGAAGAACCAAACTCTGCTGTGCTTTAGACATGGGTTAATATACACTACAAATTTGTTAAGTTTTCATACTAAGGTTTACAGCCATTTTAAGCCCTTTGTGAAAAGCCGCAAATGTCTACTCTTCTTGCAGTTCAGACATTAAGTGCCACAACACTTCTGGTTGCGGCACTCTATGTATTTGAAATGATGTCCTGCAATACATATTCTGTATTACCTTAGGTTGACTCAGGTTAATGCTAATGGAATGATTAAGATAAATATCCCAATCAGTCCAATTGAAGAGACTGAGCATTTTCAAAGGGACACCAAACACTAACAGTAATGTTCCTCTTCCAGCATCATTCATTGGTGTGCTGAATTGATTTTGGACAAGCAGCTGATTCTGGGCCACAAATTGTTAAAGGGTACATTGCAAAACATATGGATAATACAGCAATGTATTCTATAACACTTACTGTGTGCTTTGATCTAAATATGTAATGACACGATCTGCCTCTTCTTCTAAGCGCTTGTTAACATGATGGAGATATTCTGGAACCTGTAAATATCAATATAGCTATTATTAAACGTTCTCAAAGACCAAGACCTAACCAAAAACATACTTTAAGTAATAGATTGCAGCAGTTATCCCCTAAAAATGTAAGAAAAAAAAAAAATAATTCCAGCAAAGGACAGTCCACATTTTCTTTAACCACAGCAATAAAATTTTGCTGCTGCCAGAACTTAGTAATTTTGACCCTTTAAACAAAAATAATCACAAAATGCTGGACTATAGAATCACAAGCTGGCCTTTTCAATTGTGCAGTGAAGTCAGTAAAGAGACCAAAAAAACAAAACAAAAAAAAAAAAAACAACATTTATAGTTTTTAAGTGCCTGGACCGACAGCAGAGTATCTTAACCAAGATTCCCCACAAACACCAACACTAAGATGACACAGCTGAGTTGATAAAATGCTACATAAACACTTTACGGCATGGGATATTTAAAAATTTACCTCTCTTTCTTGCATAAGTCTTTGACCTTCTGCTGCATACAAACGGTTTGTTTCTTCCAAGAATCTGTGTTCAAATGATTCTTGATAAATCTAGAGAAAAACAAAAGCAATAGTGCTATATTTTAAGCATTTATGTAAGCCAAACCCTTCAAATCTTAGGTCCATGTCACACAGGTGATGAAGACACTAGTGACAACTCTCCAGTGTCAGGACTGCTAAGAAACTGCTCACGATTCTATATAGTGAAGAGAACTTTTTACTACGAACAGTTACAATGCAAATGTTATAATAGCAAACCTGTCTCCATGCATTTGCAAGCAGTTTGACATGCACTTAATCTGCTCAAAAGTACACAAGTGTACCTAAAACTTTTTTTTTTTTTTTTACACAAACTTAAAAGCTTACACTAAAAATATTTTCTTGCTTTTCCCACAATAAGGACTAACTGGTTGTTTAGGTCTAGAGGAACCAGGTACAGCAGCAGCTTTACATACCTGATCTCTGCTCCCACAGGCTCTTAAGATCCCCTATGATCCAGCGATCTAAGGTCCTGACATCATCAAGACTGTTGCAGGGCCTCATAGCCTTGCATTGGATATGAGGACCCCAAGAGACATTCCAGTGCCAGAGCATAGGGGAGAGCTGTCTGCTGGAAGAGTGAAGGATCAGCTAAGTAAAACAGCTTTTTCAGTGTCCTAAACAGAAATGAGCAGTTAACCCTTGCATTGTGAGCACAGCCCCACTGAGAGGATTGTTAGTTTTCATGCAATTAAGCTTTAAAACTAAAAGAACCAGTAACTGAATAAACACTGTCACAAAGGTTCAAACAACTTGCCTGCAGGTCAGACAGCATACTTAGTAGACTTCGTAACAAACTTCTATCAATGGCTTCCCCATTTCTTTCTCTCTCGATTAGCAGTAGAATACCATCAATTGTCTTGTTCTGAACTTTCTGATCACTAATTATGTGGGTTCTAAACAACTCAAGGCCCATGTCCCTAAAAGAGAAGAAAAAAAAAAAAAAAAACAGTTAACATTTGCAAAGGGGGAAAAAAAAAACAAAAAAAAAAAAAAAACACAACGCATATACAGGAGTTGGACAAAAATATGGAAACACTACATGATATTGCAGGTGTGAAAATGATGACGTTGCCCATTGAAAGCGTAAGTGATGTAACAATATTCTGCTTTCACTGTGTGAGGAGACACCTAGCTAACATGTGGGAAACCTCACTTTCGTCATTCACTGCGTGTGCTACTAGTAATACAGAGTCATGTCAGAGCTAAAAAAGTTTTAAAGAGGGTAAATTGTTAGTGCATGCTTAGCTGGTGCCTATGACTGAAGTTGCAAATTTGCGGTGTCACAAGGTACAGTATCGAAGGTTAGGACAGCATATACAGTTTCCGGGAAAACAGTCTGATAAACATAAGCGCAACTGACATGGTCAACTGAATAGGACACTGCGCAGGATTGTGACCTGAAAAAAGTGCTATTGCAAAAGTGACTGCAGAGCTCAATCTCAGTCTTCCAGTTTGCGTTTCACCTGCATTCAGTATGCTGGTTTGCATTCCACCTGCGTTTCAATCTGGGTCCTGATGACGTCAGACGTTGCTGATGAAAGGCATTGAACAGGACTTCCGGGACACATCGCTTCCACCGACTGGAACGCAGGGGGAACTCTAACCAGTATTTTTCATTTTTATTTCAATGCCTGAGTGTTTTTACTTGATATAAGTGCATTTATACTCTTATCCACGAAACTAAATTTACTACACTAGGAGAGGCCCCTCTTTTTTTTTTATTGATGTGGACTGAGACATACAGTGGATATAAAATGTCTACACACCCGTTAAAATGTCAGGTTTCTCTGATGTAAAAAAAATGACAAAGATAAATAATTTTAGAACTCGTTCCACCTTTAATGTAACCTATAAACTGTACAACTCAGTTGAACAACAAACTGAAATCTTTTAGGTGAAGGGAAATTAAAAACTAAAATAATATGGCTGCACAAGTGTGCACACCCTTAAACTAATACTTTGTTGAAGCACCTTTTGATTTTATTACAGCACTCTGTAAAAAAAAGTCTTTTTGGGTAAGAGTCTATCAGCATAGCACATCTGGACTTGGCAATATTTGCTCACTCTCAAAAACACTCCAAATCTGTCAGATTGCAAGGGCATCTCCTGTGCACAGGCCCTCTTCACATCACCCCACAGATTTTCAATCAGATTCAGGTCTCTGGGCCATTCAAAACTTTAATCTTCTTCTGGTGAAGCCATTCCTTTGTTGATTTGGATGTAGGCTTTGGGTCGCTGTCATGCTGAAAGATAAAGTTCCTCTTCATGTTCAGCTTTCTAGCAGAAGCCTGAAGGTTTTGTGCCAATATTGACTGGCATTTGGAACTGTTCATAATTCCCTCTACCTTGACTAAGGCCCCAGTTCCAGCTGAAGGAAAACAGCCCCAAAGCATGCTGCTACCACCATGCTTCACTGTGGGTATGGTGTTCTTTTGGTGATGTGCAGTGTTGTTTTTTGTGCTAAACATTGTTTTTGAATTATGGCCAAAAAGTTCAACCTTGGTTTCATCAGACCAGAACACATTTTCCCCACATGCTTTGGGAGACTTCAGATGTGTTTTTGCAAAATTTAGCTGGGCTTGGATGATTTTCTACATAAGAAAAGGCTTACATCATGCCACTCTACCCCATAGCCCAGACATATGAAGAATATGGGAGATTGTTGTCACATGTACCACACAGCCAGTACTTTTTAGATATTCCTGCAGCTCCTTTAATGTTGCTGTAGGCTTCATGGCAGCCTGCCAGACCAGTTTTCTTCTCATCTTTTAATAAATTTTGGAGGGACGTCCAGTTCTTGGTAATGTCACTGTTGCGCCATATTTTCTCCACTTGATGACTGTCTTCACTGTGTTCCATGGTATTGTATATCTAATGCCTTGGAAAAGCTTTTGTACCCTTCTCCTGACTGATACCTTTTAACAATAAGATCCCTCTGATGCTTTGGAAGCGCTCTGTGGACCATGGCATTTGCTGTAGGATGCGACTAAGAAAATGTCAGGCAAGACCTACTAGAACAGCTCAACTTTATTTGGGGTTAATCAGAGGCACTTTAAATGATGGCAGCTGTGTACTGACTCCTCTAACATAATTCTAAATATGATTGCTTAATTTTGAACATCGCTACATCCCCAGTTATAAAAGAGGGTGTGCACACTTATGCAACTGCATTATTTTAGTTTCTTTATGTCTACTCCCCCCCTAAAAGATTTCAGTTTGTTTTTTCCACCTTTTTAATGTGACCTATAAACTGTACAACTCAACTGAAAAAGTTCTAAAATGATTCAATCTTTGTCTCATTTTTTTACATCACAGAAACATGACAATTTAACAGGGGTGGGTAGACTTTTTATATCCACTGTATGCAGAGCCTCTTAACCACTTGCCTACCGGGCACTTATACCCCTTCTTTACCGGGCCAATTTTCAGCTTTCAGCGCTGTCGCACTTTGATTGACAATTGTGCGGTCATGCAAGATTGTACCAATATGAAATTTTATTTTTTTCTCACAAATAGAGCTTTCTTTTAGTGGTATTTAATCGCCGCTGGGCACTTTACTTTTTGCGCTATAAACAAAAAAAAGTGTAAAAAAAATTGAAAAAAAAAAAAAAAGTTTCTTTGTTTTTATTATAAAATTTTTCAAACAGGTAATTTTTCTCCTTCACTGATGTGCGTTGATGAGGCAGCACTGATGGGCACTGATAGGCAGCACTAATGAGGTGGCACGGAAAGGTGCACTGATAGGCAGCACTAATGAGGTGTCACGGATAGGCGGCACTGAGACAGCACTGATAGGTGGCACTGACTGGCATCACTGCTGGGCAATGACTGCGGCACTGCTGGGAATTGACTGGCAACTGCTGGGCACTGACTGGTGGCACTGACTGGCAGCACTGCTGGGCTGCACTGATGTGTGGCACTTTCTGGGTGGCACAGGTGGGCGCACTGCTGGGCACACTACTGGGCACAGGTGGGCGGAACTGGTGGGTGGCACTGCTGGGCACTGATCATCAGTGCCCTGATGATCGGTGCCGATCCCTGCTCTGACAACTGCCGGTTCTCGGCAGTACTTTCCTCGCGCTTCGACAGTGTGAGGAAAGTGCAGCCAAGAACTGGCAATTGCATATCCCGGTGATAAGCGTGTCATTGGACATGGCTGATCACGTGATAAAAAGCCGCTGTGATTGGCCTTTTACAACATCACGTGATCATCTGTGTCCGTAGGACACAGTGATCATGGAGATCGCCGGGTGTGCGCCCCCGGGGGCGTGCAGGACAGCGCGTTCTGGGAGGATGTCATATAACGCCCTCCCAGAACTGGCCGACCGCAATGTAGCAGTCATTGGGCTATCTGCAGTTGGCAAGTAGTAAAAGGAGCAGGAGCACCACCAAGAGCAAGGTGTTATCCATTTATCTGCATGTATGGGATGCCATACCAATTGGAATATAAAGTTGAATTCTATGGCCTGGTGTGAGAGATTGACAACTGGGGATGCATAAAGCGTTTTGTGATGCCTTTCAAGTAAAAGGGGTCATAAACCACCAGTGAGGGTGCTGTACACATGTCTGGTGAAGAGGAATAACATGGTTTTCTTTTTTAAACCCATGAAAAAATATGTAGAATATGAAGAAGGCAGCAGGTGAACTCAATGGGACTTGCAGTAGGAGGAATTTTCAACATGGTTTAAGGTCAATGTTTTGGTGGGGCACAGCCCCACATACAATAGTAACACAGAGGTTTAAAATCCCACAACCTCTCTCACCACCACCCACAGTGACCACATCACCCAAGTGAAATAAGTGCATGAAAAATAAAAATACATTGCAAAAGCAGCTAGCACTATTCACAGATATCTCCTACTACAAATAATCGCAGGGCTGTTTAAATACTATGAAAATTAACAGTAGCTAAAGGAGGCAAAGGCATAACCAAACTTGAGGAACTCAAAGCATGGAATGCTGGGAACATTGTACAAGTGGAAAAGAACCAAAAACACAAGTAGGCAAATCTGTGAAAGGAAGAGAGATATGGACAACCCATCAAAAGAGCCTTTAGGAACAAAATATAAAAAAGTGTGCTATGTTAACAAGAGGGCCTGAGCAGAGAGCTATATCAAACAAAAAAAAACCGAGACCCCAAAAAGAGGGAAGTGCGCCAAACAGGGAAAAAATGCATCTTTGAAAAAAGATGCATTGTGCCATTAGGAATAAATGGCACCCCCAATGAGTCTGAAAAATCGCGTGTTTTGGCTGCAGGAGAAAGAACATGTGTTATTTACATGCTGTACTGCACCCGCAACAGCTTGAACTTAGCCATAATGGGGCATCCTGGAGGGTGTAGTGGATCCTTGTGAGCCTTGGGTAGTGAATAAACAGGACAATGGAGATGGTTAGTAGGCAGGAAACCATGCTCATCAGAGACCGAAGACTATAAGTAGCCTCCTCTCAGCAGGTTGTAGAGCTCGTTTTTGAACCGCAATATGGGGTCACCAGCCGATAGGGTGTAAGTGGTGCTGTCCTGCAAGCGTGAAAGTTCAGTTTGGTAGTCAGATAGATTAAAGCTGGCTGTACATGGATCCCTGCTAAACTGGTCAAATTTCGATCCATGTCTGGCTGCTCTTCCTTGAGAGAAGTCAACCTAATGCTCAACTTCTTTCGAAGGAAAAGTTTTCTTGATCAGTGCATCCTGAGAGCAAAGGAGTTGCCCTGCCAGAACATGTCTCCGCAGAGAGGATTACTCTGTGCACCTTACGTGTGTTGATGGAAGTACCTGTTCATATTTATTTATTTTTTCCGAGCAGCCCAACCTTTCATGCTGAAAACACATTGGGGGGGGGGGGAGGATTTACTAAAAATGCAGAGTGCACAATCTGGTGCAGCTGTACATGGTAGCCAATCAGCTTCTAACTTCAGTTTGTACAATTAAGCTTTGACAAAAGTTAAAAAAACACCCCCCGGAAGCCGATTAGTTTCTATGGACAACTGCACCAGATTTTGCACCCTCCAGTTTTAGTAAGTCAACTCAATTCTGCCTCTTGAATGTACATAATAGTGTCAAACATATCAATGCAGTTGAAAAATCAACTCTGTGTTTAATGTGGTTATGGTTACTTAAAGTGTTACTAAACCCACAACAGTAAAATCAGTCTGTATATGCAGTAAAGAATGCTCGTTATACTCACTGCAGACCTGAAGGGGTTCCACAGGATGTTTGATACTGACTTCTCTGATCCTCCCCTTCTTCCAGTGCCCCCCTTTTATCTCCTTTATCTAGGCGTTGCTACAGAATTATATTAGTTGAAAGAGTATGCTACCCCAGCATTTAATTTTTCTGAGTTACTATGTTTTGGATTAAGAAGTACACAGTTCTCTTTGCATCGCTTTCTTTCTTTCCTCCTGCTTTACCATTTCAAATTGACCACACCAGCACATCCCTCCCGGCATGGTCAGTTTGCTTCTTTGCATTCTACTTGGGAGCACAGGCTAGATTGTTGTCTCTGCATTTTACACTGGAGTGTGTGTGTTCCATTCAAGCTGATGCCACATAACTGCATGCAGGGGTTCTCAGCTCAATCAAAAACAAAAGAAAAAAGTGTTTATCAAAGCTGGGCTTTAAGACTGAACATTTCAATTCCTGCATAAGCCTAGCTACAACTGATTAGCTTTAAAGATTAAAGTAAAAAAATTGTAAAAGAGAAGTTTTAAAATATACTATTTAGGTAAACATTAAAGGGGCAGGATCATCACTCAGATCGCAGATAGTACCAATATATGCAGAAATTAAAAATGAGTTTCTCTTTCTCGTGTGTGTGCGTGTGTGTGTGTGCGTGTGTCACACACAAAGTCCGCTCACCTCCCCTTCTTGACCTGACCTGGAAGTGACATGTACTGTTTCGGGTCCTCATTGACAGCTTTTCCAGCCATTGAGGCCAGGAAAGAATGTAATGCAGCGCGATACATTGGGGCATTGTGCATGAAAACATCGATTGCAAAACACCTTGCATATCGCCGCGCAAACCAGAATAAGAGCAAGATTTCTAGCACCAGACCTCCTCCATACCAATAAACTGATGACCTACAGGAGGCTTTAAAAAAGTGTCACCCATAGAAAAAAAAATTATAATTTACCAGAATAAATTGGCAATTTATTGGCCTTTTGTGCCCTAAAATTAAATGTGTGTTTTTTACTGAAAGTTTATGTTTTCTACACCTTTGTGGCAATATCATGCGGCCGAAAAAATTGGAACTACCACTATTTTATTCTCTAGGGTGTCTGCTTTCAGAAAATATATATGTTTTAGGGGTTTTGTGTAATCTTCAGACCTCTGTTTTTTTTTTTTTTTTTTTTTTTTTTTTTTTTTTTAAAACGTGCACAAAATGCAAAAAGGGCTCTGGCAGCAAAAGGGTTAAAGGATAAGTTCACCTTCAGTAACATGTTACATGCTCCACCCCTTTTATTTTGGGTGGAACATGTAACATGTTCTTGCTCCTGCAGTGGCTCAGCAATCCGCTGCCTCTGTGTGACAGCAGTACAGGGAGAAGTTCCCCATACCAGCTGTCACTTTTTTTTTCTTTAAAGAGAGCGGCTGTGCAGTGCTCCGCCCACATGGCCACATCATCCATTCACAGAGTTCTGTGAATGAATCAACTAGTACATCCTTTGTTGATGTTGGCTTGTAATTCTCAATGAACTACCACGGCACTGTTGAGCGCTCTGGTAGTTCATTGATTCTGACAGTGTAAAACTGCCTACCTGTGCAATGTAAAGACAGACAGATATACTGACAGTCTGCAGGAGTCCTGCATGGCACCAGCGATCTGATAGTTGGTGCAATGCTTTAACAGCTCCTTTGGCTCCTCAGCATGCAATTGTACTGCCCCCTGTACAGCACCCATGTTTCAGTGTGTGAGGGTAACCTGAAGGAATAAAGTTTGTGGGTTTTTTTTCTCTCATTGGGGCTGGCGCCTCATTTACTGCTCAGCAGATACGCGAGATCTGAGTGTTGAAAGCCTGACACTTCCCTTTCCTGACAAGCACCCAATCAGTGCTCGTCACACTGCAAGGTCCTCCCACCTCCCTGCTACTCCCCGGATGTGGTGCTGAAGACAGGCAGGGAGGTGAGGAAGACATAAACAGCACAATGTTAAAAACATTAAAAGTTCAAGTTGCCATAAAGCCCCTTTTATTTTTAAAAGCTCCAGACATTCCTAAAAGCACCCCAGACCTAAAATACAGCTTTGGTTAGAATGTTTTTTTCTAACCAGGACAAGTAGACTGGGATCTCGATTTAGTCCTTGGACAAGTAGTTTTTTTAAAAAAAATTTCCACACCCCTGTATCATTAACCTACTGCACTGCCAAAGAGACTGGGTATCACCACATTAAAATAGTGCCTGGTAATTGGATGGCCCAAAAAATCAACTGCTCTCCATTCTGGAGCCCACCACATTCCCTGGCTCCTAGTTGCTGGGTAGAGTATGGAATGGAATTGAGGGCTGTATCTGTTTCTTGTAGGAGTCAATGGAGGAAGAAAGAAGTCTTTGTCAGCAATAGCCTGTCATACACTGCATCTTCTAAACAAGCAATTATTTAAATAGTGATTTTAAGAGTTTACCAAATAGATGGCAACATTGAGTTCTGAAGGACGTAGGTTCGATCCAGGAACAGAAAGATGCCTCTGATCATGATCTTAAAAAAAAAAAAAAAAATAATTAAAAGCAATAAATTAGCGTGGTTTCACTTTAAGTAAAATTAACACATTGCACAGTTCCAGAAGATGGGGAAACAAAAATGTAATATATTATGGAAAAAATTAAATTTAAAGCAGTATTAATCCCAAAACAAAAAAAATTTAATAGGTTGCAGCGAACCAATCATTAGAAAACTAATGTGGCTCCCACATCTTTTTCAGGCTTTTCCCCCCTCTGTTTTCACCTGGTGATCTAGCCAGTAGCACACCTCCTGTATTAGAGAGCATCCACTCTGGTTGAAAGAGCACAGGGGTCACAGCAGAATTGTCATTCGGGGGTTAGCGTGATGTACTAGCAGATTTAACCACTTCAATACTGAACAATTTTACCCCCTTCCTGCCCCAGCCAATTTTCAGCTTTCAGCGCTGTCACACTTTGAAAGACAATTGGGCGGTCATGCAAAACTGTGCCCATATGAAATATTTTATCAATTTTTTTCACACAAATAGAGCTTGTGGTGGTATTTAATCATCACTGGGTTTTTTTATTTCATACTAAAACAAAAAAAGGCCAAAAATTTTGAAGAAAAAAAAAAAATCATTCTTCATAAATGTAAGCCAAAATGTATACATTTCCTTTCATGAAAATAACTCAAGACAGTGTGTATATCATGCTGGATATCTATACTGATATGGATTGGGTAATGTGTTGGGAACGTATAGATGCCCCATCATTTGATGGGAATTAAAATTATCAACCTACAGAGGACTGAATTCAAAGACACCTCGAAAATCAAAGTGAAAAAAATGATGCAGCTGGCCGAAATTTAATTGCAGCAACTCAAAATGGTAGTTTGTATGGCCCCCACATGCTTGTATGAATACCTGACAATGTCCGGGCATGCTCCTAAAGAGACGACGGATGGTGTTGTGGGGTATTTCCTCCCAGATTTGGACCAGGGCATCACTGAGCTCCAGGACAGTCTGCAGTGCAACCTGGCAGAGTTGGATGGACCAAAACATGATATCCCAGTGGTGTTTTATTGGATTTAGGTCAGGCAAATGAGGGGGCAAATGGTATCATTTCCTTCATCCTCCAGGAACTGCCTGCATACTCTTGCCACATGAGGCCAGACATTGTTGTGCACCAGGAGGAACCCGGAACCCACTGCACAAGCTTAAGGTCTGACAATGGGTCCAAGGATTTCATCTTGATACCTAATGACAGTCAAAGTACCATTGTCAAGCCTGTAGAGGTCTATGAGTCCCTCCATGGATATGCGTCTCCAGACCATCACCAAAATGGTCATGCTGAATGATGTTACAGGCAGCATAACATTCTCCACAGCTTTTTCAGATCCTTTCATGTCTGTCACATGTGCTCAGGGTGAATCTGCTTTCATCTGTAAAAAGCACAGGCCTGCCAGTGGCGGACCTGCCATTTCTGGTGTTCAATAGCAAATGCCGGGCAGTGAGCATAGGGGCCACTAGAGAACATCAGGTCCTGAGGCTACCTTCATGAAGTCAGTTTCTGATTGTTTGGTCAGAGACATTTATGCCAGTGGCCTGCTGGAGGTCATTTTCTAGAGCTCTGGCAGTGCTCATCCTGTTCCTCTTGCACAAAGGAGCAGATACTGGTCCCGCTAATGGGTTAAGCACCTTCTATGGGTCCTGTCCAGCTCTCCTAGAGTAACTGCCTGTCTCCTGGAATCTCTTCCATGCTTCTGAGACTGTGCTGGGGAGACATAGCAAACTTTATGGCAATGGCACATACTGAAGTGCCATCCTGGAGGAGTTGGACTGCCTGTGCAACCTCTGTATGGTCCAGGTATTGCCTCATGCTACCTGTAGTGACATTGACCATAGAGAAATGCAAAACTAGTGAAAAAGAGTCAGAAAATATATGAGTAGGGAAAACAAATGTCAGTGGCCCCCACCTGTAAAACCATTCCTGTTTTGGGGGTCATCTCATTGTTGCCCATCTAGAGCACCTTTTATTAATTCCATTAACACCAAAGCAGCTGAAACTGATTAACAACCTCCTCTGCTGCTTAACTGACCAGATTAATTGACGTGATGCTATACTCTGATTAAAAAGTGTTCCTTATATTAAAAAAAAAATTAAAAAAAAAAAATATATATATATTTTTTTTTTTTTTTTTTTATATATATTATATACACACACACACAGTTGTTATAAAAAGTCTACACAACCCTGTTAAAATGTCAGGATTCTGTGATGTAAGAAAAGACAACATTTTTCCACCTTTAATGTGACCTATAAACTGTACAGTTCAATTGAAAAACAAAACTTTTTTTTTTTGGGGGGGGGAGTAAACAAACCAAAATAATGTGGTTGCATATGTGTGGCACACCCTCTTATAACTGAGGATGTAGCTGTGCTCAGAATGAAGCAATCACAATCAAAATCACGTTAAATAGGAGTCAGTACACACCTGCCATTTAAAGTGCCTCTGATTAACCCCAAATAAAGTTGAGCTGCTCTAGTAGGTTTTTCCTGACATTTTCTTAGTCGCATCCTACAGCAAAAGCCATGTTCCGCAGAGAGTTTCCAAAGCATCAGAGAGATCTCATTGTTAAAAGGTATCAGTCAGGAGAAGGGTACAAAAGAATTTACAGGGCATGAGATATACCATGGAACACAGTGAAGACAGTAATCATCAAAAGGAGAAAATATGGCGCAACAGTGACATTACCAAGGACTGTACATCCCTCCAAAATTGATGAAAAGAAGAAAAGAAAACTGGTCTGTGAGGCTGCCAAGAAGCCTACAGTAACATTAAAGGAGCTGCAGAAATATCTGGAAAGTACTGGCTGTGTGGTACATGTGACAACAATCTCCCATATTCTTCATATGTCTGGGCTATAGGGTAAAGTGGCAAGACAAAAGCCTTTTCTTTTGAAGAAAAACATCCAAGCCCGAATAAATTTTGCAAAAAAACACATCTGGAGTCTCCCAAAAGCATGTGGGAAAATGTGTTATGGTCTGATGAAACCAAGGTTGAACTTTCGATGGGATCCCAGACCTGGATCCCATCGAAAATCTGTGGAGTGATCTGAAGAGGGCTGTGCACAGGAGATGCCCTTGCAATCTGACAGATCGAGTGTTTTTGCAAGGAAGAGTGGGCAAATATTGCCAAGTTAAGATGTGCCATGCTGATAAGACTCATACCCAGAAAGACTGAGTGCTGTAATAAAATAAAAAGGTGCTTCAACAAAGTATTAGTTTAAGGGTGTGCACACTTATGCAACCATATTATTTTAGGTTGTTATTTTTACTTCCCTCCACCTAAAATAAAATATTTCAGTTTGTCGTTCAACCGAGTTGTACAGTTTATAGATTACATTAAAAGTGGGAAAAGTTCTGAAATTATTTCTCTGTCTCTTTTTTTACATCACAGAAACCTGACATTTTAACAGGGGTGTGTAGACTAATTTATATTTATATATACACACACACACACACACACACACACACACACACACAGTACAAATACTTCCCAAGAGACCCCTTTGGTTCTGGAGGTTGTAGTTTGTTTTTTGTCACTTTTGTCATTACTTTTTTTTACGAACATACAGTGACCAGAGCAATACAGCGTTATCATAGTAACCCTGTACTACTCTGGGCAGGTGATCAGGATTTCATCTTTTTACACACACACACTTTTTTTTTTTTCTGAATGAAAACTATTCAGTTTACACTATCGTGCCTAGCTGTGATTGGCCCTGTCTGTGCCATGTAATCACTGTGACCAATCACAGAGCTCATCACAATAGTGCACAAAGAAAGGCATGAATAACATCCTCCTAGAACAACAGGGCTCACGGGAAGGGGTAAATACACTAACAAATTAAATGTCAAACTCCAGCTCACACTCTAAAGCCAGAGGGATAAAGGTTTTACATGAATAAATAAAATCCAAATCATTGTAAGTACCCCTGTCCGTGGTAAATGGTTTGTATCACGGACTTTGGATGTTTAACTGGAGTCATGGCCATGGCACGCCATTCATTCAGAGCTCAATGCACATGCATCGGTGATGTAACCGGCTGCTACTATAGTAAATATCTCCTAAATGGTGCATGTTTAGGAGATATTTACGGTATCTAAGTGACCATGGTAGGCTTTACTACCATTTTAGGAACAGATAAATCGCAATAGCAGAACCCAGGCTAAGGATTAGCATATCACTTGAACTTGGTTCTGAACCACCCATGTCTCTGATGACAGCTCTCTTGCAGAGTTTCACTCACCAGAAGAATTTACCTTGTGAAAAAGGACGTGTCAGATGCCTGCAATCACCTTCATGCATTGCGGTTCCACTTACTATATTGCTGTGTCCCTCTTCTTTTACACTCCTACTTTTTTCTTTTTTTTTTTTAGAATGCATGAAGGTAAAAAACCTTGAGCCTTTACAAACACTATGTAAACATATGGAAAAAAATTGTTAAACAAATGTGTGCCCCAAGAGCTTTTAACCAGCATTTCAGCCCATTAAGACAGACTTGCCTAGTAAGCAATCCCCTCCAGCGCTGTGGTATCAGCACCCATGCTCCTTGTCTTCCTTCTGGGTTCAGATTCTACAGCTGCTTGCTTTGCCAGGCCAGAATAGCACAAATTCTGTGTATGTGCACAGGGGTGCACCGTGAATATACGTTGAGGTGTGCACGTGCAGCACAGCATACACAAACACTAATGGGCAGAGGCTAGCAGTTATGACAGAATAGACCAATAGGTTCTATTATGTCAAGATCCTACCAGTCAGCCATTTTTAATGTTTAACTATACTTCGGCTTTAATGTCAAAATTCTGATTTAAAGCAGTTGTAAAGGCTCAAGGTTTGTTTTTTACACCTTTGTGCATTTTATGCATGAAGGTTAAAAAACCTTCTGTATGCAGAAGTGCCCCCAGCCCCCTCAATATTTACCTGAGCCCCATCGCAGTCCAGCGATATGCACGACAGCCTCGGCTGTCCCA